GGGTGGAGGCCCACTACACGAGAGGGGGGCGCTGACTGCAGATGAGGGGTGCCCCGGTGGGAGGGTGGGTCCTGAAACACAACAGAGGGGCTCAGTTAGTCCCTAGCCCTCACTGTGCTTCCTGGGAAGGAGGAGGGACGGGTCAGCCTGCAGCTCTGAGGGAGCAGGGACAGCTCAGGCTGCCTCTTCCATCCCCTTGGGGTGAGCTTGGCCCTGCTCCGGTCACTCCCTATGCCAGTCCCCTGGCTGGACCCACAGTGTCTAATACCCCTTGAGCTCAGCTACCTTTGTCCTGCTCTAATGATGGGTCTCCAGGGGGAGGAAGGTCTTTGGTGGCTCAGATTGTACCCTTTTCTCCTGTGTCCCTTCTCTGTGCCTTGCACCACCCTAGGCACCAGCAGACGCTGGTCCCTGAGATGCGACTGTGAGTGACCCTTGGCCTCATGTCAGGGAGCAATGCTGAGTGCTGGTCAGTCCCCTGTCCCTATCTCCCCTCAACATCCAGCACCAGAGGCTGATGGGAGGAGCCACCAAGCTGGGCTAACTGCCCACTCTCTCCTGTTCTCTGGGTCCCCCACTGTCATCGAAGGTGACTGGCACACTGAGACCTATGTAGCTCTTCACAGAGGCTCGATGCGCATGGCACTGCCTCGGTGGGGGGCTGCCACCTAGCAGTATGGGGAGCAGGCCTGCGGGCTCTCACCTGTGGCTGAGGTTCTTCTCTCTAGAGACTCCTGGCGCTGCTGCTCCATCACTTGTCTGAAAAGCAAAAGAACCAGGGGGTCCACGGAGCACAGGCTGCAAGGCTGGGTTTTGCCGGCTCTTCCCGAGGACCCACTGTGCGCCCTGGGCTGGGGGAGGGGGGCTCACAGTGAGCTTCCCTCATCCCCTCCCTGGCTCTGATGGCCACTGGGCTTGCCTCCCCCACTTAACAGAGGTGGGGCACGTGACTGGTCCAAGATCTCCAAACAGGTGAGTGCCGGCAGCCTCCTGAGTCTCAGGCACCCCTAAACAGGGAGCCCCCCACGAAGGCTCGGGTGCCATGTGGACGAGTGACCACGCTTTCCCCTAGGCTGGATGGGCCCCCTGGCTTCTGTGCCTGTGGCCTCAGCCGACCCGACCTCAAATGTCCTGTCCCCACAGCACCTGGCTAAGTCCCGGAACAATTCCCAGGCGCTGGGGTTGTCAGAAGCGGACACTCCGCGGGCACGTGCTCATTCTTTTCAGTACAGATGTAGCCGCAGGCCTGGCCTCCACGGCAGGGCCATGTGGTGCGGGCCGTGCAGGCTGTGAGCCTCGCGGGGAACCCACACCGAGCTCCTGACGGCAGAGCACTTAGGGCACTCTCACAGGCCGGTCGAGTGAGGACACTGACCCACAAACACGTCCGCAGAATCTGGGACGGTGGCGCTGGAGCAGGAGGGGGCTCAGGAATCATGTGGACCAGGGATGGCAGCAGCCTCATCGGTGTGTGCCCACCCTAAATGCCTGCTGTCCAGCAGGGGGCAGGGCGCTTTGATGCCCACCTGTCTCAGGGGAGGCTGAACTGGAGGCCAGCAGTGTGTCTGCATGGCAGGGGGGCTGTGGGCCGTGAGTCTGCGCCCTGTGCACAGCGAGCTGGCCTTTCTCTGGTGCCTGGCACCGGGTCCCACACTCAGTAAGTGCAGCTGCTCACATCTTAGAGGAAGGTCACAGTTTACTGCAAAGACCATTCAGAGGGAGGGAGCTTTCTGGTTCCCATTCTGGGGTTCCTGGCTTTGTGGGCCTCCGATTCTTCTCTATAAAATAAGCATCCTATCACCTGTCCTAGGGAGTTCTTTTAAGAGTTATATCTGGTACCTAAAAAATAACAGAAAAGACCCTTTGGCATTAAAGATGTCTGAACAACTCCCAGCAGCAACTCCATTAGCCTCTCCTTCTGAACTGCTGAGACATCACCCCACACTCCACCCTGCCCAGCAGAATTCATACTTAGAAGCCCTCAGTAAAATGAGGTGTTTGGAAGTATTTACAAATCGGGTTGTGCTTATCACAGCTCACGGTGCAGGCTCCGCTCCGTCAGCCACCTCTCCCTGTGTGTGAAGTGGCAGGCACCAGCAGGGCCCCTGCTCTGTAGTTTGCCTCCTGCCGTTCACAGACTGACTTCCAGGGGCGCTCTGGCCTGCGGACAGTTGACTGCTGGCAACACTGACTGCCTGCAGCCAGTGGCCTCCCACGCCTGGGACTTGGGCGGTGGGTTAAGACAATGCAGCGTGGTGATGTTCCACCGGTTCTGAGAGCCAAGGGAGGGTCTGTTTAGGCCCACATGCCCCGGTGCATTCTCTCGCCGTCTGGTAGGGCTCACTCCTGCCCTCTGGGACCTGGCGGGCGGCTGAGCTGGGCTGGACCAGGTACTTGGTTCTGCCTCTAACTCCTGCCTCCTTTGGGCAAGCCCTCCCATTGCCCTGAGGGCAGTGGGGGGTACAATGGGGCAGAGCCCTTGTGAACAGTTGCTGTTTTCCTGAGAGGCCAGAAGGCAGGCCTGAGGAGTCAGTCAACATGGGAGTTAGTGCAAAGGAGTCTGTCCAGGGAGCGTTCCCTCCCCCACTCATTGCTTGACCTGAGCAGAGCGAGGACTAAACTAACACTGTCATCCTCACAGCACAAAGGACCTGGAGGGTATTGTGCTCAGTGAATACGTCAAATACCATGATTTCACTTATATGCGGAATCTAACAAAAACATACACGAACAAACAAATTAAAACAGACTTACAGACACAGAGGACTGATGGTGATGCCAGAGGGGAGCGGGCTGGGGACTGTGAGAAAGGTGAAGGGACCGAGAAGTGCAGCTCGGTAGTTACAGAACAGTCACGGGAATGTAGAGCACAGCACAGGGAGCATAGGCAGTCACACTGCAGTAACTGCATGCTGCCAGGTGGGTTCTGGGAATATGGAGGGGACCACTTTGTAAATTACATGATTGCCTAACCACTATGCAGTACATGAAACTAATACAAAATACTGATGTAAACTTTAACTTAAAAATAAAATAAAAATAGACACAAAAAAAGAATGAAAACAAAAATAAAAACAAAAATAAAAAAATCCCTGTCATATTCAAATGGGAAACTAAGGCCTGGGAACTGCCGAGGGTCCTAAGTACACGTCAGAGCAGCGCGCTCAGAGATCCTTCTCTCCAGGGGGAGGAAGAGGCTGGAGAGAACACCCCGAGGGAGCCTCAGGCCAGGCGAGGCTGGGACATCCCTCCCACCCCAGCCTGGGGCCCGACTGGCATCTAGCCACAGCCCTTGGGGTCCTGGACTTTCCCAGAAGCTGGGGAGCATGGTGGGGACCAGGCCTACCTCCTGGCGAAGCTTCCATGAGCGGGATGCAAAGCCTCAGAGAGGCAGGGCCCCGCAGGGCATGGCCGCCCAGGTTCAAGCCCTGGCCCTGCCTTTCCTGGCAACGTGACCTGGGAGGCCACGCCCTCCTTGGCCACCAGGACCTCTGCTGTAACGTCAGGACAACAGCACTGCCCTTCCTCCCAGTTCACACACTATAGGAGCAGCTCGGAGCGGATGTGGTGCCATCCTAGGGCCCGTGCCCCCCAGGAGCTGCCTCCTCCACAGGCTGGCCGCACAAGGACATCGCCGCGGCCCTGGCCCTGGCTCACACAGCGCTCTCATGGCCTCCGCCACTTTAACCTTCCCGGGAGCTGAGCGGGCAGGGGGCTGAGGTCCTCCAGAGAGGCCGTGGCACTGCCCAAGGCCTCCAGTGGAGGGGGGTAGGGCCAGGTCTCACGAGGCCTTCACACAGAGTGAGGGGAGGGTGCCAAGGCCAGGGCCTCAGTCAGACAGACCCGGGCAGCCTTGGCCACGTGACCCAATCCCTTCCCGTCATGCCGACTACCTCCTCATACACCTGGAAGGCGTGTTAGCTAAGAGCACAGCCCGCAGGGCACTGCCTGGTTCAAGAGGGCTGCGATGGGAGGCCTGGGGCTCTCTGTGAAACCACGGCGCTCACCCCCCTGGCAAAGCAGCAATGGCCTGGCTCCCTCTTCCTCTCTGCTCAGGCCTGCTCCCTGTCCCGGCGGGCGGCTCTCGGAGTCCTGGCCCTAGCTGCGGTGTGTCCTGCGCTGGCTGAACGGTGCCCTGGCCACCAGGCTGGGCCCTGCTAGGGGGGCGTTACCTTCTCTGGATGTCCATTTCATCAGGAGAGGGGCCATTCTGCACCTGCCGCTGGGTGGACGGGCCTGTGGGGCAGAGAAGCACAGAGTACGGTGGTTAGTGGAGAAGAAAGGCCCCGGCAAACACACCTGGACCTGTCTTTGTCCTCCTGGTCGGTCCCATGAGGCGTCCTTGACACCTGTGTAATAGCTGGCCCTATCTCAGCCTCTCAGTCACCTCTCTCACCCTTCCTGTGGCTCTTCCGTCAGAGCCAATAAGTGGGACGGCGTTTTCACATGGTGCAGATCACCCCTTCTGGCTACCGACGCCTCTCTAACCACATTTGCCGTTTCCACTTCCTCACTTGCCACTGTCCCCCGAAGCCACTAAACTAAAATCGCCAGTGCACTTACTTGGCGTCATCAAACCCCGAAGACCCATTTCTTCCGACTTTTGAGCAAAGGAACAGCCCTAGAGCAGGTAAGTGTCAGAGCCAGGGTTAGCCCTGGGCTGCCTGCACCTCTGGGTCTGCAGCTGTGGGGTAGGAGTGGCCGGTGGAGGCAGAGCTGTCACTGTGGAGCCTCCCAGGCCACACCCTTGCCCTGGACCCTGAAGGCAGGGCCTGGAGCAGGGGGAGGCCTGAGCATGACCCGTGTCCACACAGGGCTGATGCTGTCACATTTATAAGAAAAGCCAGGCTTCTGCCCCGACCCAAGAAAGAGCTGATTGTTCCTTCCCTTTGCCAGCTCAGGTGTCACGAGAAGTGTGGAGTCTCAGCAAGGGGGCGGGGCTCGAGCGGGTCTCTCTCTTGCTGACTAGGTGGGGCAGGGGCTTGTCTCCTCCCCAGGAGGAGGTGACAGCATCAGCCTGCGACAAAACCCACCCGGTGCAGAAGGCCTCTGGAGGGGCTTCAGGCAGAGGAGGGGTGAGCGGGCTGTGCCCTGGATCAAGGCCCGGTGGGGTAGGGTGACAGGATCCCAGAGCTGAAACGGACCCTCTGATTGCGGGCAGCCTCCTGCCCAGCCCAGGAACCCCGTGTGCCTCCCGGGCAGGTACTCGGGTGCACCCCACTGCCTCCCAGGTGAGCAAGGGCTTTCTTACTCTGAGGTGCCAAACCCACCCACCCTCGAAGGCCCTATTTCCTCCACCATGTGGCGCAACATGGTCTGAATGCTTTTCTCTGCTTGACAGCCCTTTCCAGACCCTCTATTAGCCTCCATATCTGACAGTTTCAGACTTTGCTGTCTGGGGCCCTGGCATCTATCTGCTTCTGGCATGGTTTCCCTGAGCCATGCTTTGTGGCTTGCCCGCCCCGGTGTGGAGGATCCCGATGGTGGGTGGGGGCCAGGCTGGGTGGGAGGAGGAGAGGCCGTGGTGGACCTGCCAGGCCTGCTCTGGGGGCAGCAGGGGAGAGGCCTGCGGATTTTTTTAGAGGTGACTAACGATGTCTGGCTTGGTGGCCTGGCTGTAGTAGGAAATAAGTGTTATTTTCTTTCCCTATCTCTAAATACTTTTTTCCCCTTTATTTAACAAATAATTATGTGCTCTAAAACATTTATTTTCCTGACTATAAATAACATGTAATATATGTTCAGTCTAACAGACATTAGAAAATTTGAAAAGTTTAACAAAGAAAAGAAACATTCTCAATTAAAAAGATCCGGAGGGACAAGCTCTTCCCTCGCCCAGCGGGCCAGGCTCAGGTCCCGGGAGCCTCCCTGGTCATCAGGAACATGAGAGCACCAATGACAGCGGCAGCAGCTCTCCTCAACGCCCTGATTCTAACTCCCAGCCCTACCCGACAGCGCCGCTTGTACCGGGCGAGGAAACAGCCCAGAAAGGGGGAGTGACTCGCTCAGGGCCTCACAGATGGCAGGCGGTGAAGCCAGACTCAAACTATGTGCCAAACACACTTTCTTTCTTAAACTCAACCACACTGCGGGGTCGGATGGAGACCGGCTTGAGGAGGAGGAACACAGGAGAAGGGGCGGCTGGCCCGCTGCCAAAGAGCAGGACCACAGGGTCGCAGCCTCAGGGGTGCACAGCCTCTGCCTGGTGTCCATGCAGCAGACAGGGGTCCCCCAGCTCTGACCCACCCACATTCTAGCCGAGGCAGGAGGGAGGGCGTCCTAGCCCTGGTCTCTGCTGCTGAGCCCACGGCCTGAATCTGGAGGCTGAGGCCCTGTCCCGGAGACCCTGTCTAGCGCCTGGAGCCCACCATACCCTGGCCAGGCCCCGCCCTAGGACTGAGGTCTCACACCCGGGCAATACTAGCTGCTTGAAGGTCTCTGCGTCTGCTGCACTGGCCTGGTCACAGGAAGTGTTGGCCACCCCTTTGTCAGGACCCCAGATGGCAGCCAGCTGTCCACACAGTGGTCTGTGCTGATCCTGTGCTTGGGTCCCTCATCGGCCTGTAGAGCTCGGCTCCTCCCAGCCCCCCGCCAGCCTGTCCTCCAGAGGTGGGGGATCTAACAGGGGCTCTCGCTGTCCCCAGGGGCTCTGGCCCCTGTACTTGAGACATGCTTTAAAATTAGACAGCTGGCATCTTAGCACAGAGGGCAGAGACAACACTGGGTTGCATAAGGCCTTCCATGAATTCTGCTCAAACTAAGAAATGTTAGTCTGCTTTGAGCTCTGAGTGCCCTGAACATTAGTACAGTCCCTCCCTGTGGAAGGGTCTGCCCAGTGGCCCACGGTACCTGCAGCAGACGGTCTCCTGGCTGATTCCCCCCACTGGCCTGGCTGCCCCCTGGCAGAGGCAGGGTGGAGAGACTGGGAGAAGGATTGCTCCCCCAGAACTGTCTGGGATCCCTTGGGAAATTGCTGGTACAGACATTTGTAAGTGCTTCCCCAGTGAGAAAATCTCAGGGTGGGGCACTGGGTGGCTGGTGGCCACTTCCCTGTCCCGGTGTTGAGTCACCTGCATGATTTCCTGGTGGAGCATCGGAAGCCAGGGAGGAGGCCACAGGCTCCTGTGTCACGGAGTCACCTCTAGTCACGTCCCACCTCCAGGATCCAGGCGAGGGAGTGGGTGGGACCCAGCTCCTCCTCCACCTACATCTTGTCAGTTACTGAGTCCCACTGCTGCTGTGTCTGAGACCCCGACAGAACCCATCGCCATGTGGCTGCCTCAGCATCTGCCTCCTGTGATGCCTCGCTCTACCTCGGGAGCCTTTTCCACCTTCCCTCCTCCTGTCTGCTCTCCACACTGACAGTGCAGACTACGCTCTGGAAACACAAGCCTGACCTTTACGGGGTTCAGTCCGAGCTCCATCGAACAAGATTCCAGCCCACCCTGCAGCCACTTCTCCTGGGCCCGCCTCCCCACAGACCTGCCTCTCTCCCTAAGCCCACCAAATGCCCGCTCCCCAGCTGGACCCCCCACCCCGGAGGGACACAGAGTGAGTGGTGGTGGCTCTGAGAGGTGAGGGGGCTGGCCCAGTGCCATGGGGCTCATGACGCTGGCCTTGGTGTCATGAGCTTGCTGAATCTGGGAGCTGACTGAAGTTGGGGGACACAGCAGAGAAAACAACTGGGGGAGGGGGTCGCTGGGCCAGACTCCAGCCATGAGCCCACCTGGGCCGGGGCTGACCCCGAGCCACAGATGGGGACCCAGGCGAGAGTCAGCCTGGCTGACCAGAGGCACTGACGTGGGCCAGACTGAAGGAGGCAGTGGGGCCAGGAGGTCTGAAGTCACCTCTGTGTTGGTCAGCGGTGTGTCCCTACCTGGACCGCCCTGAGGCCTGGGGAGGCAGCCCTCAGTTTCTCACCTGTGAGCAGGTGGTAATGAGCTCAGGCAGCCTCCCTAAAGGCTTCCATCCCTATCTCTGCCATGATCTGACACAGGATCCCACCGAGAGGGATGATCATGCCCAGGACAGCTGCCCTTGTCTAACGGAGAGGGGCGGGGAGAGCAGAGGCTGGGCTCCAGGAGAACGCCGCAGAGCTGGGGCAGGCAGGGAACAGGCGGGCCCAGGTCACGCTCGCCGTGCAGGGACTCTGCCAGCGCTGGGCCCTCGTCCCAGGACACAGCCTGTACACCTCCACAGAGTCTGCCTTTTACGCTCCAGGGATAGGACTGTTCTGTTCTCCAGGTTCCTAGCACCCAACAGAATTCTTGGCCTCTGGTCAATGCTCAGCAAATATTTGTTGAAAATAAATGACTGGGCCCTGGGCGAATGGTCTGCGCATCTCCAGCCAACTGTGGAGACGAGGGCAGGTGACATTTATACAGCTCTTCTCACCGCTGGAAACTGGTTGGGCTGGGACTGCGCCCCATAAGCCTCAAGACGTTAGAGCAGGTGAGACACTGCAGGCCACTGGTGGAGGCACTTGGAACATACAGTGGGAAGGGAAAGGGAAGAGAACTCAAGTTTATTGGGCAGTTTACAGAGAGCCCTCATGGAACCCTCACACTCATCTCCATTTTCTCCACGAGAAGCTGGAAAGCTGGTAACATAAGTCACCAGTGAAACCAGCTCCAGCCCCAGAACAGAGGCTCTGAAGCCAATGCCCTCCACTGCCCCGTGTGACCCCAGGGCACTGAAGCACATGCTGGACTTCCCTCCAGAGGAAGGAAGGGTGGGCAGAGAGGTGGGGAGGAGCAAGGGTCCTTCAGAGGGTCAGGAAGGGCTGAGCACATGAACCACGTGGGAGAGAGGGAGGGGAGGGGAGCGGTGGGGTGGGGTGGGGCAGGAAGGAGCCACAGCCTCTCAGCACCAGCTGGCCTCTGGAAGTGAGGCTGTGGGTCTGCCTGATGCTGCCTCCCGCCTGTCCCTGCCCTGGTGCTCCGTCCCTGGAGCGCGTGGGTGAGGTGTGTGCAAACGAGTGCCTGTCCCAGGCTCTTGGGCTGCCCTGGTCTGGCCTCTGTGCCGAGGGCTGAAGGTGTGATGGGACTTGATCACAGAGGGGAGGGCGGTTCTAGCCGCCAGTGGCTTCCTCCCAGTGCGCTGAGACCCACCTTGCTAGCACTGCCCCCAGCGGTCCCTGCAGGACCCGACAGATGGTCAGTCTTTCCAGGGTTGGTGGCTTGGTGGCTGCTGGACAGTGAGAACAGTGCTTGTGCCCCTCCAGACCGCTGCTGCCC